TACTTGAATAATAAGCTCTTTGTTTACAAGGCTCCCCTCAATTGTCCATTAATATGCAGCACCAGTTTGATTACCCAATCTCCTCTGTTAGAAAGAAACTAGAGATGTTTCGTTTGCTTGAGTTGAGGGGTACACACTTTCACCTTATACCTGAATTTATCACGTGTAAGTGGAGATCTGGTAAAATGCAGGTTGCAAAGCAGGAGTTCTTGCATTTGCAGCAAGACCCTGGAATGCTGGAGTTACTGCTCTGAGGATCACACTTGGACGAGCAAGGCCTCCCTTATGCTACTGAGCTAAATATGAAAATACTGTTAGAGAGGTCAGTCTGAATATAGATGCTGCACTTATAAATTCATAAATGCCTAAAATGAGTGTATTCAGAGCAGTGATTGCCAGGCAACCCACAGGTAGTAAACCCTGAGTAAATGTGTCTTCATTCCTTTCTTAACCCTCCTCCTGCTTTCCCTTTCCCAATAATAATGTTTAAACAGTGATCTGCATGTATGGCTCTCTGGTAGCTTAGCATTTATATTATTGTGAATGACCCCCATGCGTGCACTCAGAAATAAACTCCAAGGACCTCCAGGTGGCAGCACACAATGACTATTTCCTGCAACTAGGAAGAGACCCTAAAAGCACAAATCCAATTCACCTTTAAAAAAAAAATTATGGGGCTGGGAAGGTGGCTCAGTAGTAGAGCGCTTGCCTTGCATGCCTGAGGCCCTGGGTTTGATTCCTCAGCATCACATAAGCAAAAAGAAAAAAAAGCCGGAAGTGGCGCTGTGGCTCAAGTGGTAGAGTGCTAGCCTTGAGCTGAAGAGCTGAGGGACAGCGCCCAGGCCCAGAGTTCAGGCCTTACGACTGGACTCCCCCCCCCCAAAAAAAATTATTTTGCCTTTGTCTTTCCCTTCATTTCCCTACCTCTTCTGGCTTCATAAATTACCTCCCTTTTGAGCCCACAAATAAGCACTCATAGTGCCCCATCAGATTTGGTGGCATGTTATGGCACCCCCTGGTGGTCATTGACAATAAAACAAGCTCCACTTCCTAGGGGCATATTTCTCCCTTGAAGGAACATGTAGATAGTACAGCTACTATAGCAGAGAAAGGATACATCGTCTAGAATTAGATATCCCTGTCTACTTCATGCTCTGCACTGGTAAATATACCTTCTGAGTGTAGGACAACACTGGGCATATTGATACATGCCTGTATTTGTCTGTGCATGCCACTACTCGGGAGACTGAGGTAAGAGGATCACTTGAGCCCAAGAGTTCAGGGCCATCCTGTGACAACATTGTGAGATACTGTCCCTTTAAAAGTATTTAAAATTGTAAGCTTGGTGTAAACCAAGCCTGTAATCCCAACACTAGGAGAGACTCAGAGAGGAGGATCTGAAATTCACCTGAGCTACATAATAGGATTCCATTTCAATAAAACCCAAAAACATAGACAGACAAACAGACAGACAGATAGATAGATAGATTTTTTTAATTTAAAAATGAGTTTTCAAGGAGGATAAGTTGAGATCTGTATCAGCTTGGCACCCTAGCTTCGTATGCTAATCATCCTATCCTTGATTTACCCCTGGGATTTCCTGGGAAAAGTGCTGTTTATCAATGGATAACTTCAGAAGAATAAATTTAATTTGTGAAATCAGACATGTTTTGTGGTGGTTCATTAGCAGAAGCCCTGCTCTGTTAGCATTCAAGGCAAACTGAAGCCAGTGTCTTCCCCCAAATAAGCCATATAAATAAAAACTGCACTTCTGAGAACCAAGTCAGCATTCTTTTCCAAATTTACTAGAGCTGAGTTCTTAAAAGTACCTTCAGAGGAGTTTTCTAGTTTTGTATATTGTGCATTCACGTGTGCCGGCAGTTTTACATTTGCATTGCTAATGGACCTCTTCTGGAATGTGTTTGACATTTTACTTGGCTTTGAAAGGACTTTTATGCTGGTGCTTTTGCTTCCCAAGAGCTGTCTAGAGCTAATTAACCTATTCCCTCACTGGCTAGGCCTACTATATGCAAATGTTCTCATTTCAGATTCTGACATATCACTCTTGCGTGAGCATCCCTAATGAAATCCTGTGGGGTTTTCACTGGATCAAAGCTACTATGAGTGCCAGCAGGGGGCGCACACCACAGTTCTGTGAGTAGATCTCAGCAAAGAATGTTAGGAAAAAGCCCGTGAGATTTTACCAGTCCCCTTTTTCTTTTCTTTTTCTTTTTCCATTAAGTAGTTGTACAAAGGCGATCCAACTTCAAGTACAATGCATCTTGATCAATGTCAACTGGTTTCCATCATTACGGTCTTTTTCTAAAGACTGACTCTTGAAATCCAAAGAAAAATAGTCATCATTAGTACTTTTCAAACAGCCAAGGACAACGTTGATGCTTTCGTAGTTTAATTTCATTTTGCCCTTGTAACTGATTTGTAAGTATTGGATATAAATCATGAGGTGTACTTTTGGTTTTAATTTTGTTTTAATAGAAGGGGCTGTGCAATATTTTCTTCAGCAATATTTTGTTTTTGTGCCAGAACTGGCACTGGGCTTGCACTCAGGGCCTAGGTGCTGTTTCTCAGATTTTCACTCAAGACTAGCACTCTACCACTTGAACCACAGCTCATCTTCTGGCTCTTTGGTGGTTAGATGGAGATAGGAGACTCATGGGCTTCCCAGCCAGGCTGGCTTTGAACCATGATTCTCAGATCTCAGCTTCCTGTGTAGCTAGGAGTATAGGCCTACGCCACCTATGGCTAGCGAGTAATACCATTTAACGTCTTTTTTACTTTATGTTTGTATCCCACTTTTAAAGAGCCTCTTTTATCCTCTTGTGATGTGAGAACTCCTATGACTAGGATGTCCTTTGGTATTCAGACACCACATTTCTAAACCTTGGCCTTCCTATATACCTGGTCAAAACCATGAAAAAGGGCTGCCTTTTCTGTTGTCACTTGTCAGTTCATTGTATCTGTAGACATTGGAGCCAACCCATCAAGGACCGTTACGTCACTCCCATTCCCTTTGTAAGTTCCAGGTTGCATTGGGAGAGTACACCTGGAGAGGAGAGATTCGGGATTGGGTAGTGCAGACATGAGGAGTGGAGGAGAAAGCAGGACTGGGCTGCAGTAGGCATCTCACTGCTACCGCAGCATAGTTGATGACTGAGTGCTAAAGGTGGCTGCTTTCTAGTGTTTGTTTTCAAATCAGATCATGGAAAAGAGAAATGCCAAAACTGAGGGTCTGCAATTCGCAAAGTCCAGTTTCCATAGCTCATGTCACAAGGCGTTACTCTTGTCTGCACCTGTTGCTCCAGAGAGTGCTCACATTACTGGTAGCTAAACATGGTTCCTTTTGGTCCTGTTGAGTTATGTCTCCTGCCAGGTGGGTAGTACCACACACACACTGCCTAGATGGCTAGGATTCAGTGGTCACTAACTTGGAGTCCAGAAGCCCTGAGATGGAGGTTCCCAATCCATACGATCTGAGATAGATACAACCAAGTCTGATTTGTTTGAATGTGGTTTCATCTCTGTTAGTGAAGAGTTGGCCCTTTCTGAGGAGAAAGGGATAGGATGGTATAAAGAGAAACTTTAAAGATAAAATGGAAGAAAGGGGGCTGGGAATGTGGCTCAGTGGTAGAGTGCTTGCCTAGCATGCATGAAGCCCTGGGTTCAATTCCTCAGGACCACATATACAGAAAAAGCCAGAAGTGGTGCTGTGGCTCAAGTGGTAGAGTGCTAGTCTTGAGCAAAAGAAGCTCAGAAACAGTGCCCAGACCCTGAGTTCAAGCCCAGGACTGGCAAAAAAAAAAAAAAAAAGGAAGAAAGTAGGAGACAAAACATGTGTGGAATCCACACTAAGGAAACTTTCAATACATGAGCCCTACCTACTATATTTATTAAATAAGGTAGTTGTACAAAGTGGTTTCAGCTCAACATATCAGTTCATAAGAATAATGCATCTTGATCAACTTCCTTCATATTGTATTTTTAAGTCTATAACCCAAGGTATTTCTAACCACTCCAGAAATTTTTATTCTGTTACCATCTGAGATGGATGTTCTTGGAGTATTTGTACTTGTAATTATTCTGAAATTTGTAGAGAATGGTATTATTATGGACTTCCTCCTCTAAGGTGGGGTATGTCTGTGGGGTGGGGTCAGTGGGAGGAATTCCCATAGGTCCAATATGGCCCCAGAGCTAGCTGTAATATTGGAGTATTGCTGTGATGCTCTTTCTGTTCTTAACTTACTCCTTCCCACAGCATGATTTTGAAGACAGGATCCAACTGGCCTTTACTGACGTCATTTGAAAGTGTCATTTGATTTATCCCCGTGGGTAAAAAAAAAAAAAAAAATGATGAGGACGGCCGGATACTGGTGGCTTACACCTGTAATCCTAGCTACTCGGGTAGCTGAGATCTGAGAACCAAGGTTCAAAGCCAGAAAAGTTTATGAGACTCTTATCTTCAAGAGTGGAGCCATGGCTCAAGTAGTAGAGTGCCATCCTTGAGCAAAATAAGCTAAGGGACAGTACCTAGGTCTTGAGTTCAAGTCCCAGTAACGGTACATTAAAAAAATGAGGATATAGGGTACCACCGTGTCTGAAAAAGAATTATGTATCAGGTATCCTCCAAGAGCAAGACAGAGGGACCAAGAAGAGATCGTAAGGGCATCTAGGGGGAATTGTTAACTCCCTAAAAGTTTCTGTGCTTTGAAGTCGTGACTTGCTCAGTTTCCTCCTCTGTTCTTCCCAACCTGCTAACTCAGCAGAGTTCATATTGCCCAGGTGGGGGGCCTTGGAATGCACACTGATTGCAAGGGCTTAGGCAAAATCCTGCCAAGAATGGGGTTCTTTTCCCCCACCAAAGCTGACATTTTTATTCCTTCCCCCCCCACTCTTGTCTTCCCTTTCTCTTCTCCTTCCTTGTCCCCTCCGGCCTCTGGCCCCCCCGGCCCCCCCTCCCCTTGCCTCCACGGCCCCTTTCTCAGGATCCGGAGCTGCCGCTGGCCCAGTGCGCCCTGGAGGAGATGATTCCTCATGAAGAACCTGGGTCCCCTACAGCCATCCAATGTGACCTTCCGTGTATCAGACTGAAATCCCAGCTCGCGCCACAGTGAAAGCAGCCACCGTGGAGGGGGGACGGCGAAAAATGAAATCCAACCAGGAGCGGAGCAATGAATGCCTGCCTCCCAAGAAGCGCGAGATCCCCGCCACCAGCCGGCCCTCGGAGGAGAAGGTCACCGCCCCGCCCAGCGACAACCACCGGGCGGACGGCCCGGTGGCGGCGGCGGCCGCGTGGCTCCCCGGCCACCCCCCGGGCAGCCGGGGCCCTGGGGGAGGGCGGCACGGGCCGGTGGGGCCGTCCACCGAGCTTGGTTTACAACAGGGAATAGGTTTACACAAAGCACTGTCCACCGGGCTGGACTACTCCCCGCCCAGTGCTCCCAGGTCGGTCCCCTCGGCCACCACGCTGCCCGCGGCCTACCCTCCGCCGCAGTCGGGGACCCCGGTGTCTCCGGTGCAGTACGCCCACCTGCCGCACACCTTCCAGTTCATGGGCTCCTCCCAGTACAGCGGACCCTACGCCGGCTTTCTCCCTTCACAGTTGATCTCCCCCTCGGCCAACCCCGTCACCAGTACGGTGGCCACGGCCGGGGGCGCCACCACTCCATCCCAGCGCTCCCAGCTGGAGGCCTATTCCACTCTGCTGGCCAACGTGGGCGGTCTGAGCCAGGCCGCTGGGCACAAGATCGAGCCGCAGCAGCAGCCGCCGCCGCCGCCGCCGCCGCAGCACCTGGGCAGGACCCCCGGGCTCCTCACCCCGGGGTCCCCTCCGCCCACCCCGCAGAACCAGTACGTGCACATCTCCAGCTCTCCGCAGAGCGCCGGGCGCACGGCCTCGCCGCCGGCCATCCCCGTCCACCTGCACGCGCACCAGGCCATGATCCCACACACGCTCACCCTGGGCCCGTCGTCCCAGGTGGTGGTGCAGTACGGCGGCGGCGACCCCGGCGGCCACCACTTCGTCCCCCGTGAGCCCAGCAAGAAAGACGGAGGCAGCAGCAGCAGGCTGCCGCAGGCCAAGGAGGTGTTGAATGGGGAGATGGAGAAGGGCCGGCGGTACGGGGCGCCCGCCTCTGCCGACCTGGGATTGGGCAAGGCGGGCAGCAAATCGCTCCCGCACCCTTACGAGCCCAGGCACGTGGTGGTCCACCCCAGCCCCGCCGACTACAGCAGTCGAGATCCACCCGGGGTCCGCGCGTCCGTCATGGTCCTCCCCAACAGCAGCAGCACGCCCGCATCCGACCTGGAGGCCCAGCAGGCCGCGGCGCATCGCGAGGCCTCCCCGTCCGCCCTCAACGACAAGAGCGGCCTGCACCTCGGGAAGGCCGGCCACCACCACCGGTCCTACGCGTTGTCCCCCCACACGGTCATCCAGACCACACACAGTGCTTCAGAGCCTCTCCCCGTGGGACTGCCGGCCACCGCCTTCTACGCGGGCACTCAGCCCCCGGTCATCGGCTACCTGAGCGGCCAGCAGCAGGCGATCACCTACGCAGGCAGCCTGCCCCAGCACCTGGTGATCCCTGGCACCCAGCCCTTACTCATCCCAGTGGGCAGTCCGGATATGGACACCCCGGGGGCAGCCTCTGCCATCGTCACCACGTCGCCTCAGTTCGTCACCACCGCCCTGCCCAAGAGTGACAACTTTAACCCCGAGGCCCTGGTCACCCAGGCTGCCTACCCAGCCATGGTCCAGGCTCAGATCCACCTACCCGTGGTCCAGTCGGTGGCCTCGCCCGCCGCGGTGCCGCCCACGCTGCCACCCTACTTCATGAAAGGCTCCATCATCCAGCTGGCCAACGGGGAGCTGAAGAAGGTGGAGGACCTGAAGACGGAAGACTTCATCCAGAGCGCGGAGATAAGCAACGAGCTGAAGATCGACTCGAGCACGGTGGAGAGGATCGAGGACAGCCACAGCCCCGGGGTGGCCGTGATACAGTTCGCTGTCGGGGAGCATCGGGCACAGGTAGGCTGCACGCGGCTGGCACAGGTAGTGGAGGGGAGGGAGGGAGGCTGCCCCTGCTGGCAAGATGACTTGATTGTTGGTGTGATGCAGGATGAAGTGTGGCCCCATTGGACATACTTTTTGTCGGCCATGGGGTTGGAATCTCTGGGCCTGGGCGCTCTCCCTCAGCTTTTTGGTTCAAGGCTAGCACTCTACCACTTGAGCCACAGTACCACTTCCGGTTTCCTGGTGGTTTATTGGAGATTAGAGTCTCACAGTCTTTACTGCCCGGGCTGGCTTTGAACCATAATCCTCAGATCTCAGCCCTCTGAGTACCTAGGATTACAGGTGTGCACCACTGGTGCCTGACCCAGACCTTTTCCCAGCCTAGGGTCTCTAGGAAAATCCAGCCCTACTTGTGTTTCACCAAGGCCACCTTTGTAAGGAATGAATCTGTGTGTCTAGACGGGTCTGCGTTTCCTCTAGAACTTTTTCCGCTCAGTGTCAGTTGTTTGGTCTTCTCATTGGTGAGATGGAGCCCACCCTTGCACCCACAGAGTAAATTGTTGAACTTCAGTAGCCAAATTAAAAATTGGATTGGAAGCATTCCAGCAAAGGTTGTCACCATGATATACCCATCTTCTCAAATCTAGGTATAGACTGCCTAAACAGTTGACAACGCACTGGGCCTGAACCATACCTCCTTCCACCCCTGCCCACCATGGCAAGTCCCAGTGTGCACTGCAGGAGTGGTGGAGAGAAGGCCAGGTAGCTTGGGGGGACAAGTTACTTGGCCTCTTTGATCTGTCCTTTCTCTCATCTCTCAAACAGGTACCATAATCTTTTAGGGGCCTCTTCTGGTCTTTTATTCTTTGCTTTTCCATCTTCTAGAACAGATTATAAAATGTATTGGCATCAGCTAATCAAGCAAAAAAAGGAGCACTTGGAGAAGTCTTTACTGACCTTTCTTGAGTGATCCTCAGATCTCAGACACTTGAATAGCTAGAATCACAGTCTTAAGCCACTAGAGCCTAGAACTTCTTTTTTTTTTTTCCCCATCCTGGGGCTTGAACTCGGCCTGGGCACTGTCATTGAGCCAACTCTTTGTATTCACAGCTAGTGCTCTACCACTTGAGCCACAGAGCCACTTCCTGCTCTTTTTGAGTAGTTTATTGGAGATAAGAGTCTTACAGACTTTCCTAGCTGGGCTGGCTTCAAACTGTGATCCTCAGAGCTCAGCCTCCTGAGTAGCTAGGATTACAGGCATGAACCACCAGTGCCTGGCCAGCACTGGGACTAAATTTCTAATTGCTATTGTGGAAGATGCCCCAGAGCTCTCTCCAGTGATACTCCAGGTGAGGTGGAGAAAAATGATTTCACGTGTTTACTCCTGTGTCGGTGGCTTTGCAGTACACAGCATGGCTCTACATTGGCAGAACAATTTGCCTTCCTGTTCTTTCCATGCGAGTTTTTGTTTTGTTTTGTTGGCTTGGGGGAGGGATAATAGGAAAAGTAATAGGAAGGTGTTTCCCATTGTGGCAAACCCCTTCCTTCCTTTTCAGGTGGAGGGTAAGTAGCACACTCAGAGTTGCTGCCCCCTTTATGCTGTGGCTCTGGCTGAAAGCCCTAAAGGCTAAAAGATTGTTTCCCTTGGACCTTCCCAAGTAACATTCTCCAGGAACAACTTCTTGACTGGAAAGTCCTGGGACTCCCAGGCAATTGGCCTCAACAGGAACCAATGGGACTAGAGAAAGAAACAGTGACATCACACCATGGCCTTAGGTCATAAGCAAATTAGCTAAAGGGAAAACACTGGGGCTGAAGCCAAAAAGGACCCAAGTCTGCATGTATCTTTCACTACAGGCCAGCACCGGGTCCTAGACTTACATTTACTTAATTCCATGCTTCAATGTAGGATGCAGAGAGAGGTTTGCTTCCAAAAAACTAATCCTAAGACTTCACCCTCTAAAAAGGGATTATAGAAGGAGTGGCAGTCTATTAAAAACTGCTAGGAAGGCTGATCATTTGCAGGAGGAGCACAATAAAACGCCCCTTGCGTGACCAAGAAACACCACTATCTGCATTTCTGACAAGTGTTTCTGGCAGGAGCTGAAGATGAATGAGGGATGGAGGGATGGCTTGGTGGGTGCTTCTCCAGAGCATCCAGTGAGAGCTCATGAGCTCCCCCTGTCTGCAAAGAATTGGATAGCAATATGCCAACCCTGAGAGCCTGGGCCCAAGGCACCCTATCTCCCTCAAGCTCTTGTCTTTCCTGTCCTTCTATCTTAAGTCCCTGAGGCTCAGCTTTTCTGAGGACCACGTGTCTGTAAAGGGTTCTGGGCTGACTGTTTCCTTTGGCTGCTGCTTTCCTGAATGTCGAGCTCCACATGATGTTAAGGTCGTCTGTTAAGACTGCCTCTTTTATGACTTAATGGCTGCTTAATAGGGCCCTGTTCTCCTCGCTGTCCTGGCGTGGGCATGATGTGTGCGCGTATGGCAAGGCAGAATGATGTCCTTACTGTGTGTCTGCCCGTGGCTTTGCTTCCATTCCACTCATTTTGAGTTTGACTGCGGTGGACTGAGTCACTGATAGTAGCTTCTATCTTGAATGGATGAGCTGGGGCCTAAAAATAGCCAAGGCACAAATAAGCCCATCCAGTCCCTCTGCTGCCAAAGCACGCTCACCGGCAGCATTCACCGTGCAAGGCTAGGGGAACATGCATCCTGACCAATCAGAAGCCAGAGTCGGTCAGCACCCTGAATGCACACGTGTGCACTGGGAGCTGCACTCCAGTTGTTGGGAATCAACTTCCTATCCATTCTCACACCAGAGACAATCCCCTAAAGAAACCAAATCAACCCGTGCTTTTGTTCCTGAATCTGTGTACCCTCTGCCCCTCTCATGCACAGAAAACCAGGTCTGCATGCCTGTAATACCAACTATTTGAAGATCACTTGAGCCCAGGAGTTTGAGACCAATATGAGCAACAGAGCAAAACCCCATCAGGGGGGGAAAAAAGGAAGGTGACCAGATGCTGGTGGGTCATGTCTGCAGCCAGGTACTGGTAGTTCACATCTGTAATCAGGGTTCAAAGCCAGCCTGGGCAGGGCAGTCCATGAGATTCCTATCTCCAATTAAACACACATACATAGACACACAAGCTGGAAGTGGAGGTATGGATGAAATGGTAGAGCACCAACCTGAGCAAAGAATGCTAAGGGACGGTACCCAAGCTGTGAATTCAAGCCCCAAGACTGGCACCAGTGTTATCTTTGCTTTTTTTTAAAGTAGACTTTCATGTTTAATGTCATTTTACATTTATAAAACATTGAACACAAATTAGAGTTCCTGCAGTTTCCTCCATTATGAAAACTTTGGTATAATGTGTGTCCCAATCAATGAGTTAGCACCGCTACATTGTGGTTAACTAAACACCATCATTTAACCTGGTAGGTTTACTCTGTGGTACCTTCTGTGAGTTTTGTTGTTTTGGGGAGGTAGAGCTGAAGTTTGAACTCAGGGTCTCCAGGGCCTGGTACTTGCTAGGCAGGCACTCTACCACTTGAACCTCTCTGCCAGTGCTCTTTGTGTTGTTTATTTTTAAGATATGGTCTCGCTTTTTGTCTCACTAGCCCAGAACGTGATCCTCCTATTTGTTTCCCCAAGTTGCTGGGATGACAGGTACCCATTACTACCATGCCTAGTCCTTGTGCTTTGCCCTTAGCTTTGGATGACAGGTTCACACTGCTGCACCCAGCCACTGGTCAAGATGAAGTCTCTCAAACTTTTTTCCTGGGCTGGCTTTGAACTGTGTTCCCTTGATCTCCATCAAGTAGCTCATGTCACAGACTGGAGCCATCACAATGGACCACATCTGTGAGTTTTGATAAACATGTGATTCCTTGCACAACCAGCATTCCACAGTCATCTTGAATAGTTTTACCACCATAAAAATCTATTATGTCTCACATGCCCCCAACCCCATGACACATACAATCTCATGCCTTAAATCCCTAGCAACCACCAGTCTTTTTTACCTAGATTTTTTGCCTTTTTTCTAGAATGTTAATTGTTGGAGTGACATAGGATGTAGCCTTTTTCTTAGACTGGCTTTTTCACTTAGTATTATGCATTTTAAGTTTCTCTGTCTTTTTCTTTCCATGATACCTTCTTCTTTTCAATGCTGATTTGTGTGTGTGTATACATACATACATACCCATGCGTATATGTGCATGCACTACTATTTGGGGTGTAAGGGGCTCATGCTCTTACTCTGTTTTTTTGTTCAAGGCTGGTTCTCTGCCACACCAGCTTTTTGCTGGTTAATTGGAGATAAACATCTGTTAGATTTGGCTGCCCGGGCTAGCTCTGAACCATGAGCCTCAAATCTCAGCCTCCTGAGTAGCTAGTACTATAGGTGTGAGCTGCCGCCACCTGACTAATGCTGGTTGTTCTATACTGATGTTGTCCTGTAAGGCACATATTTTAAGACCTCTGGACAAGGAGGGCTTTTGGGAGCTGTGTGGGGACTACACTGATGGCTGCCCTGGGGGGCTGTATTCCTCCTGGGGCTAGTCCTGAGCCTGTTAAAGGGACCATCTCCCAAGCAAGCCCTGTGAACCATGTAATGGGGTGTTGACGGTGTGTGGCAATGTGTGATGGGGTGTGAGCAGAGCCTCATTTGCAGTTAAGGCATTTGTGTTCATAGAGATGACTGTGCTCGGACGTGGGTTTCCTAAACAACTCTGAAACACTTCCAGCGAAGGCTGAGTCACACATAGCATTAACACGATCAAATGTTTTAAATAGAATACTCCCAGATATTCTTACACTCAAAGAGTTGTGACTGCTTTTATTAATGATGTTTAAACACTGAAGTAAATCAATTCTTTTTCCTGTACACCCCCCTATTCATCACCCCAGGATTTTCTGGTTTGCTTCATGCAGAGAACATAGGCATGCAAACTGTTTTCCAATGGTTAAAAAAAAAAAAAAAAGCAGGTTAGCTTTCCTCTACAGA